AAATGGGAATAAATCTTTTGTGTCTCGTACCATCGCCCGTTACCGTGATACTGGTAGCGTAGCCAGTAGCGACGTCAAGGAAGTGGATGGAAAAAAACAGCAACATCAGCAGAAATGGTTGGAAAAGTAAAGAAGCGACTTGATCGAAACCCGCATCGCAGTGGTCGAAAAATGGCTCGAGAGCTCGTGAACATATCGCAATATTCCATTGGGCAAATATTGAAAAATGAGCTCGGGGTAAAGCCATTGAAATACCAAAAAGCGCAAGAATTTACACCGCATCGCAAAGAAAATAGACTCAAAAGAGCTAAAGAGTTGCTTCGCTTCGCCAAATGTGGTGAACTGCCGAATTTGGTTTTCTCCGTCTCCGATGAGAAAACATTCGTTGTCCAGGAGATTGTTAGCTGAAAATGTGCACCTTCTGTGGGCCACCAAAACTCAAGCGGTGGCCATGGTGATGGCGTGGGCCGCCATAACAGCCGGTGGTCGCTCTCTGCCAGCGCTCATTTGGAATTACTCAGAGTTCTCTTGGAGAGTGGTAGCCTTCAACAGATTTCTAGGTCTATTCCGCAGGTACCAATTCGAAGATTAGCTATATGGGCTTCACTTCCCTCTTGGTAAAGGGTTGAGGACTATCTTACACTTCTGCTGCTCCCGTTGAGAATGCAACACCACATCGAGCCGAAGCTCTACCCGCGATTTGGGTATAAACCACAACCAATGCGTTGCACCCAAAACGGGATCTGTCCATAGTCAAGCTAGATCAACAGATCTAGAGGCCCCTGACGCCCGAGGCCCCGAATAGTCTCCGGTCAGATTTCGTAGTCGAAACTACTACCATTTCTTGCTCCATACACCACGGGACTGGTCACCCAAAATGAGAGAAAATTTAAGGCACGATGAGGGAATAGGACGAGTGCAACACAAGTGCTACACTAATGGAGCAGTCTAATCCCCACGTTTACATGGACGTAGCTTTCTCACTGCGAGGAACGAGGCCTATTCACCTCTTCCGCTCTGACGCTGGCGAACGGCAAACGATTAGATTTGAAAGTGCCCCCGACAAGATCAGAAGGATCTATGATGGTGAGGCAGAGAGTTGAGATTCCCTGTGAGTTCCCAGCACTTGCAGTACCAGAAAAAAGACCTCTGGTCAGATCTGGTAACCGGGTTACTTCCAGTTTCAGTCCCATGTGACTAGGGGACTGATAACTCCTTATGCTGAAGGGTGTATTAAAGCCTTGGGCACGCAAAACATTTTGGCCGCAGACCTTGGACATTCCAACAGGACTCAGCACCATAGCACTTAACATGCGCCACCCAAGAATGGTTACAAAATGAGCGTCCTCGCTTCATTTCCAGCGCAGAATTGCCACCAAAATCTCCGGATACAATTCTGTTGGACTATTGTATCTGGAGTGTATTTTGGAAAGCAAGGTTGGCACTACAAAATACCAAAGTGTCGATCACCTCAAGCAAGCGCTTTGCCGAGGATGGGACAAAATACAAAATAAAAATTATGGCGTTTGACTTTGTTGCAGTTTTTTTTTTAGCTCACCCTGTAAAGGCTAGGACATATAAAAGCTATGACATCTTCCCTGATAACCGTCTTTCCCAATAGCCACTCCGATTTTTTTCACAATTAAGTGTAGAATATTTTTGGGCAGTGGATTTTCCCAAACAAAATATCGGATTTCCCGAACGAAATGTCGGATTTTCCCAAACGAAATTTCCCAAATTTGAAATGTATTTCTGTGGCTTTGTCATGACGCATTAATTTCTTATCTGCCATAAAATATTTTCGGCAAAGTTCAAAATTTAACCTATTGTAAATCAAATGTCGGACATTTTTATTGACCCCCACTTCAGATAATTTAGTCTTATCGGCGGGCGAACTAATTGGATTTCCCTTGATTTGAGGAATATTTGTGAAATTCTATTAATGAATTATGCGGCGAATTATAAAATCGATTTTTTTAATAATTGACAATAAATTTAAAAAAAATATGGGGTACTTGGATTTTTAAGAATATTTTTGACGGTCTAACACATTCAATAATTATGACCTATTTATGGCTAGAGAGGGTATGTATATCATTTGATACGGCCAAAACGTGTCTAGTCGAAATAACGGTTTGAGACCCTAGGTCTCTTTGGAACAAATCCGTCTGTCTGTCTGGCATGGCACGATAGCTCTCGAAGGGATTCGATTTGATCCAAACTTGGTACATCGTAATATAATTGTCAAACTTCTTCTGGAACCTCCTCACACAAAATGTTGATATTTTCAAAGAAAATAATTTACTGCACAGAAAGAGAAAGGATCATCCGCTTTTACTTCAACTTTGCGATTCCAGGTGCGAAAACGGTCTATTAGAGCAAGCTATGGCAAATTTCTTTACGAATATCTCCGAAGTTCTAACAAATCCTATAATTACTTATTTTTAAGAATGGCATTTTGAAAAACAATACTTCTATCGAAGCTATTAAGTGTGGTTATTTTAGAACATAATCGTGAATTATTTTCCTTTAATATCCTTTTCAAAATTTTCAGAGGCACCAATGTAGGTTTTTTTAGGAGCACAGAGTCCTCTATCGCGTTTTCTTTTAAGTATGTAGTTTCAAAGCTCTAAAAGCTTAAAATTATGTGATTATCATCACTATCACATAGGATCCTATGCGGGATTTACCTTGCCGTTTTTATACCCTCCACTATAGTATGGAGGTTTATTAAGTTTTTCATTCCGTTTGTAACACCTCGAAATATACACCCCACACCAGTATACAGACCCCACAAAGTATTTATATTCTTGATCAGCATAAAATTTTATGTCGATTTAGCGATGTCCGTCCGTCTATCCGTCTGTCCGTCTGTGGCAATCACTCTAGCTTCCGAACGAAATGAAGTAGGTTGATAAAATTTTACTCAAATGTGTATTATGACTGCAGGACCTTTAATATGGAAATTGGGTGATGTAGACCCATGTTTTGGTATAGCCGCCATATAATGGTACCTCCCGATATTCGGTACTTTGATGATTTTAGTGACATTATTCACGGGAATTGCTTCAAATTTGGTATTTGAAGCTCGTAATGGGTACTACAGCCTATGACAGAAAATTGACTGTTCAGGTACCGGTCTTTGTATAGCTCCCATATAACGGTACCTCCCGACATTCTGTATTTGGATGATTTTAACGACATTATTCACCGATTTTTTTTATTCAAGTTTCGCACTTAAATATTGTAATGTTTTATGACAAAGGTGGGTTATGCAGGTCCACGTCGTCGTGAAGACCCTAATATTCGGTATTTTTACGATTTTTACAGAATTTTTAAAGGATTTTTTTTTTTTTTTTCAAAGATCGGCCCGGCCGAACTTACAGCTTTTTTATTTGTTTTTTTTTTTCTCTTTTTTTCCAATTTATAAAAAATCCCAAAATATCACGACCTCATGCCTTCCAAAAGAAAACTATTACAAAATATCTTTAAAAAAATATATTTTTTCTAAAAAATTCCATCTAAGATGGAATAGATAGAATAGGAGAAGCCTCGGGTGAACACAGCAGGCCCACCGCTCTCACAACCCAATTTAATGCCAAAGGAGGTGGCATCAATAACAACATTTTCACCACCCTGCTTTTAGACCAATGACCGCCAGAATCTCCATTACAGCTCGACTTCTTACAATGGAACCCAAATAATAGGTGTCTCAGGGACCCTACTTCATGACGGGTGCCTCAATGTAACGCAAGAATTAAGAAATAGATAAGACCTGTCTTTAACCCAGCTGGAGGGCCAAACCAATTCTCCCTCATATGTCGAATATTAACCATCCTCTTGGGTAAAACAGCCGGTTGGATGCGATTATTGAATTCGATAATAACTGGCATTTTGATGAGGTAGATGTCATTGGCCTTGTCTCACCATTTTATTGTTCGTGGACAGTGATGTTCAAGGAGAAGATCCGTTGTTAACTCTTTTCATTGGAGTTGCGAACATCAATGGCGCCCAAGTAAATTGTGACACTATCTATGCCATCGGTTGTTGTTGTAGCAGCTCATACAGCTGTGTTCGTTTTGTTTCCATTTTCTGACTTCATTCAATCTGGTTCCGCCTCTAAGTCCTATCTCAAAAAGGATGCAACCTGTATGGGTTGTGTCCATAACGAGACTGGAGTTAGGCGAGTCGCCTTGGCTGGACAGCGAAATAGGTGCAGCGTGTCATGTGGGCATGTGCCACAAGCTGGGCAGATGTTCTGCACATCGCTGTTAATCTGGGCCCAGTAGAAATTTAGGCGGTTGCACCATCCGGATCGTACGTGAGCCAAAACTACAACTACTACAATAGAATGCTGTCAAAATCCAACAATTCGAAATTAAAATTCCACCACACCCGAAAATGTCTTTTCCGATGGCCAAACTCAAACCAACTTGATAGGGAAATTGACTATCCCTGGTCTATTCGACATTGGTAATGCGTCCCCCGAATTATGATAAAGGCATTATGGGGACCGCGGCAAGACGTTCGCGAATTGTGGAATAATGCCAGCAGAGACCGTAGCCACAATCAAACTTAGAGCTATTGGGGAGAGTTGAAGACTTGACAAACGCAATGTTTTTACAGTTGAAGAAACTTGGAAATTTTTGCCAAAAAAATGAACTGAGTATTGTACGAGGTGCAGTGGGCTTTCCCCATCAAACTTATCTCAGCAACCGGCCAATGGTGGAAATTATTGATAACTCATTGGTAATTTCGAACCGAATCCAAACTAACATTACTCTTGTTCGATTCTTTATCAGTGGGAAAATGTGTTTGGTATGCCTCGACGGGAAAATACCAGAGCACACCGCACTATGCTTATGTTTTGCTGCCACTTTTTTTTTTGGATATGATAAGATCAATGCTGTGGTAATTTGCTCTGCCAAATTTTCAAAATTTCTCCAACTATAAAAACCCTGCAATTGCAGCAGAAACATCAGTCAATTCTTCAACTTCAACCTTCCACAATGAAATCCCTAATTGTTCTAAATCTGATTGTGGCCACGGTCTCGGCTGGCATTGTGCCACCAATTCACGAACGTCTTCCTGCCATTCCAGTAATGCCCCTGCCAGAATTTGAGGGACGCATTACCAATGGTGAATTGGCCAGGGCTGGCCAGTTTCCCTATCAGGTGGGACTGAGTTTGGCCTTTGGCGAAGATACTTTCTGGTGTGGCGGTACTTTGATTTCGAATCGTTGGATTTTAACGGCTGCCCATTGTACAGATGGCGCTGATGGTGTCACAATTTACTTGGGCGCCATTGATGTTCGCAACCACAATGAAAAGGGTCAACAACGGATCTACTCCTCCAAATCGTACATTATTGTTCACGAACAATGGAATGGTCAGACAATGGCCAATGACATCTCCCTCATCAAAATGCCAGTAATTATTGAGTTCAATGATCGCATCCAACCGGCAGTTTTACCCAAGAAGAATGGTCAATATTCGTCATATGAAGGAGAATTGGTTTGGGCCTCCGGCTGGGGTAGAGACAGTGATGAAGCCTCATCTATTTCTCAATTCTTGCGTTACATTGAGGTACCCGTCATGAAGCAGAGTACCTGCAATACCTATTATTTGGGATCGATTAGCGAAAAGATGATTTGCATCAGTACCAAGGGTAAGAAGTCCACCTGTAAAAAAAAAAAATTTTCACTAATGTTCTTATGGAAGGGGTGTGGTCTTTGATATATTTCGAAAGTCGTATAATTCTACAAAAAAAACTTTCACAAGAGGAAAAAAGGCAACCTAATATTTTAATAACTACCTACATCTGAGAGAATTATTCTCATAGTTCATGATATTTGGGAAAGCCAAGAAGTGACCGCGATTATCATTCACTTGTGAATGCTCGACACATATAGAGCTTGCTTTTCATCAAAATCGTCATACCAAAAAGCTGAAAAAGCCATGTGACCTTTTTCTTCACCGGAAATATCAGTAAAATCCAAGAATGACTAATGGCTCTAATAGCCCTTGGAATATATTTAGAAAAAAAAATAATATTGTAAAAGATTTAATGGTTATTAATAGTCCCTACATATTATTTAAAAAAAATCCTCGAATAGTGAAAAAAATATACCCAGAAAAATATATTTGAAAAATTCACGATTTGTGGCTCTTATGCTCCACTAATAGTGGAGGACCGCTAGGACCATTTAAGTTACAAATTATTGTTAAAAATTTATGATTAGTGGCTCTAATGACCTTTGAAAAATATTCTTAAAAATCCATGATTAGTGACAATTAGTAGTCCTTAAAAAAATCTTAAAATCCACAATTTGTGAATATTGAAAATGTATTCTTGAAAATCCACAATTGTTGGCTCCGCTGTCCAAATTTGTGGCTCTCATAGTCCTTGACAATAATAATCTTAAAATCCACGATTATAGTTCTTAAAAACTTAAAACTTAAAACAAGAACCTCCAGATCTCCTGAACATCCTCATCCTGTAAATCTGAAGGTTCTTGAAAAAATATTTTTAAAAATCCACATTTTTGGATCTAATGGCCGTGGAAATATGTTCGAAAAACTTTATAGTCCTTATTATAATAATCTTAAAAATCCGTAAGTGTCCAGTCCTGGAATAATGTTCTTGAAATCGACGATTTGTAAATATTGAAAAAATATTTTCAAAAACTATTATTGGCTCCGTTGTCCTTAAAAAATAAATATTCACAATATCCTCGTCTTGTGGAGATCCTTGAAAAAATATTCTTAAAAAATCGTGATTAGTGAAAATATATTCTTGAAAAATCCAGGATTTTTGACTCCATTGTCCTTAAAAAATATTTTTTAAAATCCAAGATTAGTCCTGGAAAAAATACTTTTAAAATCCTCAATTATAGTCCTTAAAAATATTCTTGAAAATCCTCTTCTTGTGGATCTAGAGGTCCTTGAAAATTCCTAGTTTTGTTGCTCTGACGGCTTAAAAAAGGCCTTATAAGCATTGGACGGGGAAAGGTATTAAAATTTTAATTCTTCAAAATTCATGATTAGAAGCTCTGATTTTCCATGAAAAATATTATTCAAAATCCTTGATTAATGACTATTAATGGTCCTTAAAAATATTCTTAAAGTCCACGATTACTGAATATTGAAAATATATAAAACGACAGATTGCTTCCTTAAAAAAATTTAAAAATTCAAGATTTGTGGTTCTTTTAGTCTTTGAAAACATAGTTCTAAAATCAATGATTATAGTCCTCAAAAAATCAACGATTTTAACATCCAAGTCATGTGGATCTAGAGGTCATTGAAAAAAATATTTTTAAAAATCCATGATTTCTTGCTCTGGTGGTCCTTGAAAAAAATATTCTTAAAAAATCACGGCATTTGGATCTAATGATCCGTGGAAAAGTATTTGAAATACTCCACGTTTATAGTCCTTGAAAACATTTTGTAAAAATTCGGTGCTAATAGTCCCTGAAAAAATATTCTTAAAAAATCCAAGACAGATTTTGAAAAAATATTCTTAAAAAATCCAAGACAGATTTTGAAAAAATATTCTTAAAAATCCACGATAGTGTCTCCAGAAGTCCTAAAAAATCTAAAACTCCAATGGTCTTAAAAAAATTTTAAAAACAAATTCTACGATCTGGAGCTTTGATGGTTCTTGACAAGTATTCGTAAAAATCCACGATTTGAGGTTCCAATATTGCTGGAAAAAAATATTTTCAGTATTTTTGATTATTGTTTCCAAGGGTCCTGAAAATAATTTAAAAAAATCTACGAGGCCCTGTAGTCTTTGAAAATTGTTCAAAAAATCCATGATTTGGGATTCTACTAGGTCTTGAAAAAATATTCCTAAAAATCCACGATTAGTGCCTCCAAAAATCCTAAAAATATTTAAAAAATATCTACCATCGGGAGCCTTGATGATACCTGGAAGATAATATTAAAAATCCTCCATTTAAGGTTCCATTAGTTCTGGAAAATATAATCTTAAAAACCCATGATTAGTGTATCAAAAAGTCCTAAAAATTTTTTTCAAAAAAAAAAAATCACGATCTGATGCCCCGATGGTCCTTAAATATTATTGCTAAAAATCCACGATTTGAAGTTCCACTAGTCCTTGGAATAAATAATCTATAAAATCCATGATTAGTGTCTCCACACGTTCTGAACAAAATATTTCATGACCGGCTGCCCTGATTGTCCTTGAAAATTATTCGTAAGAATACATTAGTCGAGGTTTCTCTAGCGCTTAAAAAATAATCTTAAAAATCCACGATGTGGGGTTCCATTACTTCTTGAAAAAAATATTCTTAAAAATCCACGGTTATAGTCTCCAGTAGTCATAAAAAAACATTTTAAAAATATGCCACCATCGGGGCCCCGATGGTCCTTGAAATTTTTTCATAAAAATCCACGATTTGAAGTTCCACTAGTGCTTGAAAAAATATTCTTAAAAATCCACGATTGGTGTCTCCAGAAGCCCTAAAAAATATTTAAAAAAAAAACTACGATCGGGGCCCTGATGGTCCTTGAAAATTATTCGTAAAAATCCCAGATTTGATAATCTTAAAAATCAACGATTAGTGTCTGCAAAAGACCTAAAAATATTTAAAAAAAATCTACGACCAGGGGCCCCGATGGTTCTTGAAAATTATTATTTGAGGTTCCACTAGTGCTTGAAAAAATACTTTTAAAATTCCACGATCAGTGTCTCCAAAAGTTCGAAAAAAATATTTAGAAAATTCTACGATCTGGGAAATAATCTTAAAACTCCACGATTTAAGGTTCTAATAGTTCTTGAAAAAATAATCTTAAAAATCCACAATTTTAGGTTCGACTAGTCCTTGAAAAAATATTCTTAAAAATTCACGACACTATCCCCCAAAAGTCCTGAAAAATATTTGAAAAAATATACGATCGTGGGCCCTGATGGTCCTTAAAAATTATTCATAAAAATCCAAGATTTAAGGTTCCACTAGCCCTTGAAAAATAATTTTTAAAATCCACGATTTGAAGTCCTACTAGTCCTTGAAAAACTAATATTAAAAATCCACGACACTAGTCAACAAAAGTCCCAAAAAATATTTGAAAAAAAATCCATGATTTGAGTTTCCACTAGTCCTTGAGAAAAATTTAAAAAATCCTCGATTTTTAAGTTTTTGCTAGACCTTGAAAAATAATCTTTAAAATCAAAGTGTCTCGAGCCACAAGGATTCTTAAAAAAATACTATTGGTAGCTCCGATGGTCCTTCAAAAATGTTCTTTAAAATCCATCGCTTTTTTTAATTTTCAGATTTTAATTAATTAATTAAGAAGTAAATTTATTTTATTATAAATTTAAGTCCTTACAGCCGTTTATGCAGATCCGTACCTTATCGCCATTGGTCGAAGCAAAGGTAGTATAATTTAAATTCCTGAATTCTCACACCTTGTGGTTTCTGAATTACAGCAATGTTCATTTCATATAGACAGTTAGTTAAATCAAACTTGTAGCCAGCTCCCTCCTTCGCCCTTTTCACCACGATTATGTTACGAATATTACCACCCATCCCCTTGCCGAAGATTTGTGAAAAAAGCGTGCTGAAGCAATCTTAATTGCCTGGAATTGGTGATAAATTTTTCGCCACATTTCAAATAACCATCAATTAAATAATTGCCCAAAAAAAACCACAGGCCCGAATTAATTTCTGGAGGGAGAGAAGGGGAGGAGGTTTAGGGGTTTCTATGAATATTATGGTGAGAAAAATGCCATAGTTTTTCTCACACAATTACTCAATGGGCCACGCCAAGCCAGACCAGACCAGCGCAACACGCAAAATAGCATGAAAATACACTTAAGGCGCTGCTACTGATTAATGGTGGTGGTCAGTAAATGATAAAGACGCACGAATTTCGCATATTATGTATGAATGAGAGGCACACAGACCCACATAGTCCGAAACTTATACACAGGCAAAACCCCTCCAGTGGCGAACAATGGTGTTTTGTTGGATACATGACTGAATGATTGTCTGATGATGCAACCTGTCGAACTACAATGCACTGCAGTGCGCCGCCCTGCTCCACTCCACTCCGCACTTGGACTGATTTGATTTCATTTCTTCGCCAAATGGAATGGGAAAAGTCGCACAGTTAATTCGACAACGCAGCGATCAGATAATTAAGAAAGCTGGTGGACAGTCGGTGTGCAGACCCCTCTGCACACCTTCGGCGAGTGTTGGAAAATGCTGACTAGCTAGCACTAGCCAGCCACACTGATGGCTCCAAAAGTGGTCTATGGAATTTTATAAAAGCAAATGCCGCAACCGGACTTGGCTTTAGTTTGGCGAGAAGCGCGCGTGCCTAACAAACAGTTATTAAGTTATCAGCCAGCCAAGGAAAGTGAAACAAACAACCGGACAAAAAATAAAAACAATTAAAGGCAAAGAAATAAATTTTTTATTGTAATGGAAACTATGAAAAAACCTCCAATGGAATATGTAAAATAAAGAAAAAACAGAGGAAGACCGAACAAGATGAGACAGGTTTAGTGAAACAAAAAAAAAAATAAAAATTGTAACCAAAAGAGAAATTCTGAAATCCAAAAAAAATTAAAAATTAAACAAAAAAGTATCCCCCGCTTACAAAATGGCAAAGTGTAACCCCTTATGGTATCACTTACTGGCCCTCTACTGTGTAATGGGTCTGGGGAGAACTAGCCTAGCCCTGGATTGGAATAAAGTGAAACCCATGTATTTGGTGGCCATGAATCCGAAACCCACCAACTCGGCCATGCACGATGCCAACGATGATGAACCGTTGGTCCTGAATCTAGAAACCGAACCCATGCCCGATAATGACATTACCAAAGAAGCCATGAATCGTATATTTGGTGGCAATGAAGCGGATAAATCCAGTTTTCCCTATCAAATTGGTTTCCTGCTACAGAGACCCAAGGGTCTTTATTGGTGTGGAGGATCCTTGATATCCCATGAATTTGTCCTGACGGCGGCCCATTGTGTGGATATGTAGGTGGCAGGAGATTTATGATTTGGAAAAGTGAACGATTTTTAAAATTAATTTTCTTCTTTTTATTGGCGGTGTTAAAAAAGGGCCTCCCGTGCTTTGGTGTTTCTGGGCGCCCACGACATCAAGAATCCCGATGAACCTGGCCAAATACGCATGATGGTCTATCACCGTGATTTCTATATATTTCCCACATGGAATCCTCGCAAGCTCAAGGATGACATTGCCATAGTGCATTTGCCGAAATCGATAAGTTATAATGGTAGGTTGAATGGAGTTTTTTTGGGAAGGAGAGAAAAATTAAAAACCAAACAAAAGACGACCAGAACTATTACGAAAAAAGGCAGCAAAAAGGGTAAAAGTTTGGATACAGGGATTATATTCCCCAAGGAAGAAAATCAAAAAAAAGTCAGTTCAAACATTTCTATAAAATCTGAAAGTCTTTAGAAAACCTTGAGAGAAAATAACAAGTAAAAAAATAGCAAAGTTCGACTGGGCCGAACTTTTAATACCCTCTACCATTTGGAAGGAACTCGAAAAATTAAAAAAAAAATTACGTCAAAAAATACGGCTCAAATAAAAATGTATATAAGGGCTATACGAAGACGTGATGTTGGATAAGTAATTTCTCTGTCATAGGCTGTAGTAACCATTCCGAACTTTAAATACAAAATTCGAAACAATTCCGGTGAATAATGTCTCTAATGTCATCAAAATACAGAATAAAGGCAGGTACCGATGTATGGGGGCTATACGAAGACGTGGACCTACATAAACAATTTTCAGTCATAGATTGTAGTACATATTACGAACTTCAAATACAAAATTTGACGCAATTCCGCTAAATAATGTTGCGAAAAATCCAGAAAATACCGAATATCTCGGGGTAGCGTTATATGGGTGCTATACTAAAACCTAGACCTATATAGACAATTCTCTTCCAGGAGATAAAGTACTAGGGGAGAATTCCTTAGGAGGATTTTTAGACTATTCTATTAAAAAATGTGGCTTAAATCTCAATACCGAGTATCGGAGGGGGGATACTATTGTATGGGGCCTATGCAATATCGTGGACCTATACAGAAAATTGCTTTTCAGGGGGTAAATTATTCACCGAGAACTAATTTGGTGGATTTTCAGCCTATTCTATTGAAAAATGTGACTAAAATCATCAAAATACCCAGTATCGGGGGACCTTTATATACAGTTCTCCTCCAGGGAGTAGGATACCCACAAAGAAATCCTTGTGTAGAATTTCAGACAATTTCATTAAAAATTGTGCCTATAATCACCAAAATATCGAATATCGGGGGTACCATTATATGGGGGCCATTCGATATAGCCCATCTTTGAACTTGACCTGCCTGCAAACAAAAGACACATTGGTGCTAATTTTTAGCTTCCTATCTTTATTCGTTTTGACTCTAAAGTGATTATAACAGACGGACGGACGGACAAGGCTAAATCTTAGAATTTTCATTTGTGGATTTTCTTAAAACCCCGATTAGTGGCTCTAACAGTCCTTATTCTTAAAAAATTCACGTCTGTGACTCTGACGATCATTGAAAAAATATTCCTAAGAGACCACGATTAGTGTCTCCAAAAGTTCTAAAAAATATTTAAAAAAATCTACGATTGGGAGCTCTGATTGTCCTTGAAAATAATTCATAAAATTCCATGATTTGAAGTTCCACTAGTGCTTGAAAAAAATATTCTTAAAAATCCACGATAAGTGTCTCCGAAGTCCTAAAAAATATTTTAAAAAATCTACGATTAGAAGCTCTGATGGTCTTTGAAAATTATGCGTAAAAATCCACAATTTTAAGTTCCACTAGTGCTTCAAAATTTCTGAAAAAAATATTTAAAAAATTCTACTATCGGGGACCCTGTCCCGAAATAATTCATAAAAATCCATGATTTGAGGTTCCAATAGTGCTTGAAAAAAATATTCTTAAAAATCCACTATTTATGTCTTCGGAAGTGTTAAAAAATATTTAGAAAAAAACTCTACGATCGGGGACCTCTGATGGTCCTTGAAAATTATTCTTAAAAAAATCCACAATTTGAAGTTCCACAAGTCCTTAACAAAATAATCTTAAAAATCCACGATTTGTGCCTCCAAAAGTTCTGAAAAAAAATATTAAAAAAAAATTCTACGATCGGGGGCCCTGGTGGTCCTCGAAAATTAGTCCTTCAAAATCCTTGAAAAATATGCTCAAAAATCCACGATTAGTATTCCCAAAGAGCTTAAAAATAATTTTAAAAAAATCTGCAGAACCTTCGTCCTATTCCTTAAATTTCAGGATTTGAGGTTTCACTAGGCCTTGAAAAAATAATCTTAAAAAAACACTTTTTTTGTTTAAAAAATTTCAGATTATAGCTTCTGCCGGATTTAAATGAGCAGTTGATTAATTAAGAACTAAATTCGGCAAAATACCTACTCCCTACTGCCTTCTACGCAGATCCTTACCTAATCCTCAATGATCGAAGCAAAGGTTGTAAAATTATAATTGCTCAATCCAGACACATTGTGGTTCGAGAATTAAAGCAATGTCCATTTTAGATAGAACCCTAGCCCCTAGTAAAGTCAAACTTGTGACCAGCTCCCTCCACCTCCTCCCTTTTCACATCGACTATGTTACGAATTTACCAACCATCCCCTTGCCGTAGATTTGTTAAAAAAAAATCCAAAATTGTTACGAAAAGGACGACAGAAATGGTACTAGTTTGGAGGCAGGGATATTATTCCCCAATCGCAGAATAGTCAGCCAAAAAATGTTCTTTAAAATATTAAAGACTTTGGAAAACCTCGAGAGAGGGTTAAAAGGGATTTTTACCAGAGACTTCATTTTTATACCCTCAGCCATGTGGCTAAAGAGGGTATATATCATTTGATACGGCCAAAACGTGCCTCATCAAAATAACGGTTTTAGACCCTAGGTCTCTTTGGACCAAATCCGTTTCAGGACATCTGTAGCCGATCTAGCGATGTCCGTCCGTCCTTCCGTCTGTCTGGCTGGCTGGTGCGCACGATAACTCTCGAAGGGAGTATCCGATTTGATACGAACTTGGTACATTGTAATATTATTGTCAAACTTAGATCGAGTTCGGAGATGGGCAATATCGGTCCACTCCTTCTGGTACCTCCCCCAGAAGGAATGGACCGTTATTTTCAGAGAAAATATTTTACTGCACAGAAAGAGAAAGGACAATCCGATTTCGCTCCAACTTTTCAAATCCTAATATTTGCATTAATGCTAGGTCAGGTGCGAAAATGGGCAATATCGGTCCACTCCATCAAGTACCTCCTCCACAAATGTTAAAAATTTTAAATAATTATAAATCTTATGAAATATGATGCAAGTGTCCGATTGTCTCTAAATTATACACATCGTAATATTTTCATTAGCCCAAGGTCTGATGTGAAGATGAAATATATCGGTCCACCCCTTCTGGTACCTCCCCCACAAAGGGTCAACATTTTGAGTATCCATAAAGCTCATAAAACGGGAAATTAACATCCGATTCCATCGAGACTTGGTACATCTCAATAATTCCATCAATACAAAATTTCTCATAAAGATAGTCGTTTCGGCCCATTCCTTCTCGTACCTCCCCTAAATAGGGTCAAAGTTTTGAATAACCAAAACGGTCATAAAAACAGAAATAAGCCTCCGGATCTCTTCATATTTCACACATCCCATTATATCTACTAACATAAGCTCTACTGTGAAGATAGTCCACTCCTTCTGGTACCTCCCTTCTGGTCCACTCCTTCTGGTACCTCCCCCACAAAGGGTCAACATTTTGAATATCCATGAAGCTAATAAAACGCGAAATTAACATCCGATTCCATTAAGATTTGGTAACTAGCAATGTTTTCCAAAACAAGATCTGTTATAAAGATTGTAGAGATCGAACCATTCCTTCCCTTCCTGGCCCCACAAAGGGCCAAAGTTTAGAATAACCGCAACGATCTAAAATTTCGAAATAAGTCTCCAGTTCTCTTCATATTTCACACATCCCATTATTTCTACTAACATAAGATCTACTGTGAAGATGGGATATATCGGTTCCCTCCTTCTGGTACTTCCCCCACAAAGGGTCAAAATTTTGAAAGCTCATAAAACGCGAAATCAACATCCTATTTAATTCAGACTTTGTACATCTCAATATTTCCATCAACACAAGATCTGTTATAAAGATGGTAGAGTTCGGACTATTTCTTCTGGAACCTCCCCCACATAGGGTTCAAGATTTTGAAAATCAAAACGCTCAAAGAAAGTGCATCCCTCTGTCTTCAAATTTTACACATACAAACATTTTTGCTAATGCATGATCTCTTGTGAAGATGATATATATCTGCGAACCCCTTCTGGTACCTCACCCACAAAGGTTCACAATTTCCAATATTTATATCTGTCATAACTTGTGAAACAAGTCGTCAATTCGTTTCAACTTGCTACATCTAAATATTTCTCTTAACCAGAAATCTGACTTGAATTTGGAATTTATAAATTCGCATAAAATTGGATATAAATGTTCGATTTTCTTTTAATTTTGCCTGTACCAATATTTTTATATGTATTAGATGAAATAGGAAAATGGAATATGTGGTACCTCGCGCAAACTTTTAACATTTTCTACAAATTATCGCATACCGCATATAAAGTGAAGGAAGCAGTCGATATAGTTCAAACCTGGCACGTCGCAATATTTGTATCGTATATATTTAGGTCCGATACGAAATGGTCAATATTGACCCATTCCTTCGGAGCCTACTCCATAGAGGGTCAACAACTTGAATAATCATAACAAATGTCAAAACATATTTAAATAATCGAATATTTATTACCGAATAATTATTTTTGTTTATTCAGTTTTAAGTAAACTATCGTTTGCTAGGCTATCAAAAATTAACCCACCTTCCTCTCTAAAAAAAACCGATTTAAAATCCTAACCCATCTCTTTGTTTTAGAAAGAATTCAACCGATACAATTACCCAAACGAGACTATGAATATCGGACATTTGAAGATAAACTCGGGGTAGCATCCGGTTGGGGTCGCTATGCGGCGGGGGTGCATGCCATCAGTAACGTACTACGCTATGTACAACTACGCATCGTCAACGGCAGGACATGCAAAAATAATTTTCCGCTCTCATATCGT